ATTTCGAGCTTTCCTCCCACATTAAGCTGACATATAACTTGATTACTGTTAAAAGCGTCATTAATCCCAACTCACACACTCACTCACTCATCCCAGAAACAATTAAAGCACATATAGTGTTCGTAATAATGTCTAACATGTGACTGGCTCGACAGTCATGTAGAAGTTTCCGGAGGCACAGACCTGTGGTATGGCATACCTGTGATGCAGCCTCGTCACTATGCCATCCAAGGAAGGTGGACATGGAATTTCTAGTGACCTTACATCACGTCAACAGCTTCAGGCACTTAAGGGAACCAACACTTTGGGGTATTTCAAAGATGGACGATTGGTGACAAAACCCTGCACCATGGAAACAACATTTAGCACTGTAGACACGACACGAGAAAGCCGATCTTTTCATAGAAAACAGGATGAAAAAACAGTGTCACATGCTTCTGTCAGCTAGGATATTGGCCGAGGCCCGGACAGTTTTTCACAAGATCCTAACACTATCAACACCAGTGTTACATTAAGCGTTGATTGTCCAAGCGAAACATTCGCCTTTCTTAGTTGGAATATTAATGGACTTCGAAACAAAATTGATGATGCTGATTTTATATCATACTTACAACAATCTAAAATTGCATGTCTTGTGGAATCTTTTGTTGACTGTAGCTGTGATAATAACTGGTTAGTTGGTTATGATATTTATTATAGTCCTGCAATAAAATTATCTGACAACGGCAGGCATTCAGGTGGTATTTGTGTATGTGTCCATCAATCCGTCAGTAAATTTTGTAAGTTAATTCAATCAGATGTTGATAATCTCCTGTGCTTGAACAAAAGTGTTACTTACAATTGATAAAAATGTAAACTTGCTATGTACATACATACCACCAGCTGGCTCGCCGTATTATAACCATGTGGTCTCAAACTGCGGTTTTGATCTTCTTTTTTGTTAGATAATCAGTCGAAGCTTAGGAGATTCTATCAGTGTAGTCTGTGGAGATATGAATGCTTGTACTGGTCAACCAAACAATCCTCTAGTCGATCTACAAAACAATTTTGTACATAGTAACTGTCCATTCCCAGAAGATAAAAACGTATGTTTTGGAGATCGGAAATCCCATGACACCGTTATTAATAAATTTGGTCAGATGCTGCTAGATATGTTGTATACATTTCAGTTGTTCATTGTCAGTGGGAGAGTGTGTGGGCATACCCTCAGAGAATTTACCTATTGTGGAAACCAAGGTGCGAGTGTTCTAAATCACTAAGAAGAAACTAATATGGAATGACAAACTTTTGAACAATTTTCTGAGGAAGCTACAACAAAGTATAACATATGATAAACATATAATTCTTGATAAACTTGATAATAATATTGAGGGGGCAAAATTATTTTAGTGAATGCTACACGGTTGTGATGAAGTTATGCTAGATTCCCCCCATTGTTGAAAATAAAATAATAGATGAGATAAATCACCTCAAGAAGGGAAAAGCAGCTGGTCCTGATGATGTAGTTATTGAAATGTTGAAGTGTTCTAAATCTGAAGCTATGCCTATTCTTTGCAAATGTTTCAATAAATTATTTGAAAAGGGAGTTTTCCCCAGCAATTGGTCATGTTCTATAACAATCCCCCTGCATAAAAAAGGATAAGCATAAATTGTGTGTAGCATTTGTAGATTCCAAAAAGGTTCTTTTGATTCTGTTAATCGCTTTAAGCTATGGACATGTTTACGAAAATCTGGTTTACATGGGAAAATGTTTACTATTCTAAATCTATGTATTCTAATGTGAGATCATGTGTTCGTTGTGGGGATGGTGTAACAGATTTCTTTGATTGTCCTTTGGGCCTAAGACAAGGCTGTATTTTGAGTCTGATCTTATTTTCATTTTTCATTCATGAATTATATTACGAAATAGCTGCCAATGGTAAACATGGTATCCAAATGTTTCAGATTTGATAGAAACATTAATGCTACTTTTTGCAGACGATGTCATTTTAGTGTCGGATACTGTTGTTGGTCTGCAAAGGCAACTTAATAGTTTAAGTTCATACGCGAATGAATGGAAATTATCATTAAATTTGGAAAAAACTAAAATAATGATCTTTAGAAAAGGTGGCCCAATAGCGTCGAAAGAAAGATCGTCATTCGATGGTCAGTTAATCAATATAGTGTATCACTATTCATATTTAGGAATCTACGTCACTATGCTAGGACAGGTTTGAGGGGTATGGCATACCATGCAGCCTCGCCACTATGCTAGGACAAGTCTGAGGGGTATGGCATACCATGCAGCCTAGCGACTATGCTAGGACAAGTCTGAGGGGTATGGCATACCATGCAGCCTCGCCACTATGCTAGGACAAGTCTGAGGGGTATGGCATACCATGCAGCCTCGCCACTATGCTAGGACAAGTCTGAGGGGTATGGCATACCATGCAGCCTCGCCACTATGCTAGGACATGTCTGAGGGGTATGGTATACCATGCAGCCTCGCCACTGTGCTAGGACAAGTCTGAGGGGTATAGCATACCATGCAGTCTCGTCACTATGCTAGGACAAGTCTGAGGGGTATGGTATACCATGCAGCCTCGCCACTATGCTAGGACAGGTCTGAAAGGTATGGTATACTATGCATCCTTGACAGTGCTAGGACAGGTATGAAAGGTATGGTATACCATGCATCTTTGACAGTGCTAGGACAGGTATGAAAGGTATGGTATACTATGCATCCTTGACAGTGCTAGGACAGGTATGAAAGGTATGGTATACCATGCAGCCTTGACAGTGCTAGGACAGGTATGAAAGGTATGGTATACCATGCATCCTTGACAGTGATATTTCAGGTATAACAGGTATGGTATACCATTCATCATTGACATTGCTGTTTCAGGTGTAAAAGGTATGGTATACCATGCATCCTTGACAGTGCTAAGACAGGTATGAAAGGTATGGTATACCATGCATCTTTGACAGTGCTAGGACAGGTATGAAAGGTATGGTATACCATGCATCCTTGACAGTGCTAGGACAGGTATGAAAGGTATGGTATACCATGCATCCTTGACAGTGCTAAGACAGGTATGAAAGGTTTGGTATACCATGCATCTTTGACAGTGCTAGGACAGGTATGAAAGGTATGGTATACCAAGCATCCTTGACAGTGCTAGGACAGGTATGAAAGGTATGGTATACCATACATCCTTGACAGTGCTAGTACAGGTATGAAAGGTATGGTATACCATGCATCCTTGACAGTGCTAGGACAGGTATGAAAGGTATGGTATACCATGCATCCCTGACAGTGCTAGTACAGGTATGAAAGGAATGGTATACCATGCATCCTTGACAGTGCTATTTCAGGTATAACAGGTATGGTATACCATGAATTCTTGATAGTGCTAGTACAGGTATGAAAGGTATGGTATACCATGCATCCTTGACAGTGCTAGTACAGGTTTGAAAGGTATTGTATACCATGCATCCTTGACAGTGCTAGTACAGGTACGAAAGGTATGATATACCTTGCATCCTTGACAGTGTTAGGACAGGTAGGAAAGGTATGGTATACCATGCATCCTTGACAGTGCTAGGACAGGTATAAAAGGTATGGTATACCGTGCATCCTTGACAGTGTTATTTCAGGTGTAAAATGTATGGTATACCATGCATCCCTGACAGTGCTAGGACAGGTATAAAAGGTATGGTATACCATGCATCCCTGACAGTACTAGGACAGGTATAAAAGGTATGGTATACCATGCATCCTTGACAGTGCTAGGACAGGTATGAAAGGTATGGTATACCATGCATCCTTGACAGTGCAGGTATGAAAGGTATGGTATACCATGCATCCCTGACAGTGCTAGGACAGGTATGAAAGGTATGGTATACCGTGCACCCTGACAGTGTTAAGACATGTATAAAAGCTATGGTATACCGTGCACCCTGACAGTGATAGTCCAGCTTGGTATAAAAGCTATGGTATACCATGCACCCTGACAGTGCTGGGACTGGTATGAAAGGTATGGTATACCATTCAGCATCAATAGTTGGTGGTAAGCGTACAATCAAGGAGTTCTGAAATGTTTATTGTTCTCCATATGGTATCCGAGTGATTCCGGGACAGAATTACAACGTCCCCTGTTCCCCATACCTGTTTCATTAAACATCAAATGTTTGGAATTCATTATTATAATAAAATAAATGGACAACTTTTTCAGTCAATTTGTAAAATAATATACCGGTAGGTGTTTATTTAATTGCCTGAGTGAAATTTTTAAAGTCATTTTACACACTGACTATTACATATGTACACACGAAAAAATAAGCAATGCTCAGGTGAAAGTTTTAGGTTGTGTTACAAGTCAAAATAGTGTAAACGAAAATCACATAATACCAAGCAAGTGACTTATCAAAACTTATCACTATTATTGATGCAATTCCCAAAGACACCTACATTTCCTTGTTAATTCCAAGACAAAACTTGATTTCAATTTCATCAATGTGACAAGTAACGCCCTTATACTATCAATAAAAGCGACAAATGTGCTTACAGTTGGTGAAGCAGAGGTCATGAACTAGTTGAGATTTCTGGGATATCATCCATGCACTCAAGGAAAAACAACAATAACAAGGGTAACAACCAGCCCGGGGGAATTGCTGTAGATCAGTGCCCCTTTACCCCCCTCCCCCCTAACCCAAATATTTTCATCTTATCATCATGAACAAATCCAACAATGATTGTTCTACAATGGCAATGTTTCAACAGACCCTCTACCCTTGTTGCTGCTGTCACCGTGTGCATTCACAAAACATGAGCAACTCCCAGCTTGAGAGGCAACACAAAAGTCCCTGTTATGTCCCAACAGGATTGGCTACAAGTTAGCCACCACCTGATCACAACCACTAGCAGCGAGCTCCAGACATCCTGTGTGCTCTATTGATCCCCTCCCCCTCCCTTATATACTGCTGTATACTCCACACATCAGCTGCCTGGACACAGCCTCTCCACCCCAGCAGCCCTACTGTAGTGTAGTTCTTAAAGTGAACCGCCGGCGCCAAGCTACAAGACTGATTGCCAAAGTCAATCAGGTGCCTAGTAATGTGCTGACAAGGAGCCATTACATTCTCGTTAGCAAACAGACAGGAACTGGGGATTTATTAATGTTGAAAAAAACTGTCAGGTATTTGGCATTGTGATATTTTTGTCTTGTGTGGTGGGAGGGATTCCTGTGTCCTTAGGGCTCAAGGAAACACAAATGGTGTCGTCATGTAGTAAGTAGAGATCAAGACATTTAGTTGACAGGTGATGTGAAACTGGACACTTCGTTTCACTCAACTAACAGATTTGGACTGCTTCAATGTTGTCACTAGCTGTCATATATCAAGGTAGGTTATGGTTTGATTATTTTATTTATTAGTTCCATTTGGTCAGTTAATTACAGGTGAGAAACATGTAGCTTCGAACAGTGACACATGTCTTGTGGGAGTAACTACCTACCTGTGTGTCACAATGGGGTACATGAACAGATAGAACCAGTGTCTTTCCTCATTGCTATAAAGGATAATTAGTGACCATAAAATATATAACATTGTGGCCTTTATATTATTAATATTTTAACATATGTAGCACAGGGATCAAAATTAAATTTATGTCAAGTTTGCCAATGGGCATAGTTATGCCAAATTATGTGTGCCATCACATTTTTAGGGGTGCCAGGAAATACTGATTGGCTTCTAAACTGTTTTAATGGTTAATCATAATTCAAATACAAGTCAAGTGACTGTCATAGTGTACATTCAAGTCAAATTATACTTAGAATGAATGATCAACCAGAAAATTCAAACACACAGGACTCAAGTTACTAATTTCTGGTAACTCGTTGCCTTTGAAGCAGTTAAATACTGCAATACCAATTATAATAGTCTCATGGTTTAAGAGCTAATGTTCACAACTAGTAGCTGTGCACTGATTAGTTACAGGGTGTGGTTCCTCTTCTGGCCCTCTTCCCACCTGTATGCACTGAGCCACAATTATCAACTTTGACAGTGTCTGGGATTTCAGCCTATCTGCTTGTAAAACATCTTTGCTACTGCATGTTATACACCTTTTGAAAGGTCTAATCCTGTTTATACATATGAAATTTATGTTTATCACATTATTTAAATACAAAATGTACAACTTATTTAAGTGTTTAGTAAATAGCTGACACATTCATTACTTCCAGATTGAGGACCAAGGAAGCGGAAATTTGATGATTTTTGGCGAATATAAGATTTCATAAAATCCACTTACCTATTTTTTTAATATTATTATTCTTTACGTAATTGGAAAACTATTTTAAAAAGATTTATAAATAAGATCTGTCATCATTACTTTCCCTCAGCAGCTGTCCACTCAGTAGCATCAAGAAATATTTCCGTTTTCGAAACTTCGTATGAATAACACGTACCATGTGACACACCATTATCTACAAAGCTTATTTTGTCATCTAAACGATAGTAAACTCGCCTTGAGTGTTTACATTACTATAACATGCGTGACCTAAAGTAGCCAATCAAATTAGATTTTGACGAAAGGTTTTTGTTAAATCATGTTATTTGGAACGTTTTAAGCAGGAAATCGCATTCTATACTAAAAATATGAATCTTAGTGGATGTATCATGCCAGCTAGGTTACGAGCTGTGACAAAGATTTTTCACGCATATATTTTGGCATTAAACATTGTGTCCGTGCGGAGAAACCGAGGTGACAAAAGCCGAAATGTTATTTGACCCACATTACACACTATCGCACGAAAAGATGGAAATAACAACTTTTAGACATATATTTGTTGATTTTATGTAATAGTTTGTATAATATATTTAAAGATTTGATTGACATGTTTTTATTTTGCTCTTTGACAAGTAATTGATCTTTTAATCTATCGATAAAAAATAATAAATTGAAATAAAATATGTATTTCAGACATTTCTAAATGTGACAGATTTAATAAATAAATGACATGCCAGGTAGGTTCATGAACTCATGAACTTAGTCTGTCTACCGGCCTGCGGTGTCTGGGGACTCGGTGTTGAAAGAGTTAAATCATGTTGATATCGTTTCCAGAAAGGAAATTCAATTTGTTTTAAGACATATTTATAAAATCATTTTTACATACTCGTCATGATTATCAACAGAGATACTAGACAGTCACTTTCATTGATAAATTAAGTGTGCCAAAGGGGCACGCAGGTAAGGAGTTCACCATGCCATTACAGTTTGAAGTGTGCCCTCGGCACAGTGGCACTCATCATTTCGAATCCTGTTCGCATGAAAATAATATGCAGGTATTTATTCAGCATATAAATAAATGCAGTTGTGGTGGTGTTTTCTGAGGCCCCTGACTTGTAGACACCATGAATACCTCACTGTCAGAAGGGGTGCATCCTGATTAATCATCTACTTTATTGATATCCAATAAGAGATGTATTGTGATGCACCCTAGCCAATGAGTGTGGTATTGTGATACATCACAGCCAATGAGTGTGGTATTGTGATGCACCCTAGCCAATGAGTGTGGTATTGTGATACATCACAGCCAATAAGAGATGTATTGTGATGCACCCTAGCCAATGAGTGTGTTATTGTGATGCACCCTAGCCAATAAATGTGGTATTGTGATACACCCTAGCCAATGAGTGTGGTATTGTGATGCACCCTAGCCAATGAGTGTGGTATTGTGATACATCACAGCCAATGAGTGTGGTATTGTGATACATCACAGCCAATGAGTGTGGTATTGTGATACATCACAGCCAATGAGTGTGGTATTGTGATACACCTTAGCCAATGAGTGTGGTATTGTGATACATCAGAGCCAATGAGTGTGGTATTGTGATACAACCTAGCCAATGAGTGTGGTATTGTGATACATCACAGCCAGTGAGTGTGGTATTGTGATACATCACAGCCAATGAGTGTGGTATTGTGATACACCCTAGCCAATGAGTGTGGTATTGTGATACATCACAGCTAATGAGTGTGGTATTGTGATGCACCCTAGCCAATTAGTGTGGTATTGTGATACATCACAGCCAATAAGAGATGTATTGTGATGCACCCTAGCCAATGAGTGTGGTATTGTGATGCACCCTAGCCAATGAGTGTGGTATTGTGATACACCCTAGCCAATGAGTGTGGTATTGTGATGCACCCTAGCCAATGAGTGTGGTATTGTGATACATCACAGCCAATGAGTGTGGTATTGTGATACATCACAGCCAATGAGTGTGGTATTGTGATACATCACAGCCAATGAGTGTGGTATTGTGATACACCTTAGCCAATGAGTGTGGTATTGTGATACATCACAGCCAATGAGTGTGGTATTGTGATACATCACAGCCAATGAGTGTGGTATTGTGATACATCACAGCCAATGAGTGTGGTATTGTGATACATCACAGCCAATGACTGTGGTAGTGTGATACACCTTAGCCAATGAGTGTGGTATTGTGATACACCCGAGCCAATGAGGGTTGTATTGTGATGCACCCTAGCCAATGAGTGTGGTATTGTGATACACCTTAGCCAATGAGTGTGGTATTGTGATACACCCTAGCCAATGAGGGTTGTATTGTGATGCACCCTAGCCAATGAGTGTGGTATTGTGATACTCCCTAGCCAATGAGTGTGGTATTGTGATACACCCTAGCCAATGAGTGTGGTATTGTGATGCACCCTAGCCAATGAGTGTGGTATTGTGATACATCACAGCCAGTGAGTGTGGTATTGTGATACATCACAGCCAATGAGTGTGGTAGTGTGATACACCTTAGCCAATGAGTGTGGTATTGTGATACACCCTAGCCAATGAGGGTTGTATTGTGATACATCACAGCCAATGAGTGTGGTATTGTGATACTCCCTAGCCAATGAGTGTGGTATTGTGATACACCCTAGCCAATGAGTGTGGTATTGTGATACAACCTAGCCAATGAGTGTGGTATTGTGATACATCACAGCCAATGAGTGTGGAATTGTGATACATCACAGCCAATGAGTGTGGAATTGTGATACATCACAGCCAATGAGTGTGGTATTGTGATACATCACAGCCAATGAGTGTGGAATTGTGATACATCACAGCCAATGAGTGTGGAATTGTGATACATCACAGCCAATGAGTGTGGTATTGTGATACATCACAGCCAATGAGTGTGGTATTGTGATGCACCCTAGCCAATGAGTGTGGTATTGTGATGCACCCTAGCCAATGAGTGTGGTATTGTGATACATCACAGCCAATGAGTGTGGTATTGTGATACATCACAGCCAATGAGTGTGGTATTGTGATACATCACAGCCAATGAGTGTGGTACTGTGATACACCCTAGCCAATGAGAGTTGTATTGTGAGTGAGTGAGTGAGTTAATGCTTTACGTCACATCGGCAATATTCCAGCCATATCGTGACGAGTTGTATTGTGATACATCACAGCCAATGAGTGTGGTATTGTGATACACCCTAGCCAATGAGTGTGGTATTGTGATACATCACAGCCAATGATTGTGGTATTGTGATACACCCTAGCCAATGAGTGTGGTATTGTGATACATCACAGCCAATGAGTGTGGTATTGTGATACACCCTAGCCAATGAGTGTGGTACTGTGATACATTAGTCAGGCTTCACATACAGATTGACTGAGCAGAGCTTAATAAAGCCAACAATCATTCAATTTTATTTCTATTTGGTTATCTTTTCTGTTTCAGGTAGATTTGAAAACTAAATGATACAGTTCCAAAAAGCAACAGTCAGTATGTTAAATTTGATCAAAAGCACCAAACTGCCTCTGGTCACTGCAGACACACAAAGATCTAGCTATGTCTAACAAAAAACATCTAAATTAAAATATGAGAATACATACATTGAAAGCAGATCAAATCCATCTATTAAAACGGACAATAAATCCCCCGGATGTTACCTGGGATCCACACGATGGGTTTTATTACAGGAGTATAATATTCATAAAATAGGCATTATTGCAAGTTCATTTATCAAAATGCAATTATTCGTGTCTGTCAGTCATCATGAAAACATCCACCACAGTACACCAGGGACAGAAACCTTTAGTAGAAAACACTTGAGTTGTGATGTTACATTGGCTGTGTTGTCTTCAAACTACACACCAAAAGCTTTTTTTAAGTACCATATATCGCTGTCTATAAGGCGACTCCCCCTGTACAAGCCTTCAAAATCGATAATAATTTATATATCCCGTCTATAAAGAGAATCGGAATGAAGCACATCACCTGCGCATACACAATCCCTACATTTGCAATAAAAATGTGTTTGTCTTCCACAGAACAAAAATACATCGTATCCCTTCATCAAATTCAGGCAA